AATAGTAAATAAACTGTCACCTTTGTACAAGAATTTAAAATGTATTTTGCTTGGACTTCATTTTGCTGACCTTTGTAATATCATACTGCATTCTTGATCACTTTATATCATGTGGAAAATACTGTTAAGGACAGATGGCTTTCAAACCATTATCACCAACTAATCTGCTTGAAAACAGTACCCACACTGTCAGTAGTGTTTACTGGGAACACCACTGCACTTGGGAATAGTGCTTAACAAGTATCAGTGCTGCTGACCATCTGTAAGGAATTTTTGAGTACATCCAACCAGATGAAATACCGCTTCAAGTGGAATATGCGGCATGTTTTGGTAGATGATGAGGACATGGTTCAAAGGGAAACGCTGCTTCTGTTGTGGTTTTAATTGTTGATACATGACAGGATGGAATTAGCAAAAGTACAAGTCTTTAGCCTTTTATCTTGCTGTGTGGAGACAAAAATGTTTGCCTGAATTCAAGTGGTTTTAAAAATCTTGACCCCAACATAACATTTAAATAATTCATTAATGTAAAACAGTATCCTCGTGGCCCCACCACTCCACTGAAGTGCCTCTTGCAGTGTTATTGCATATCAGTGATACAATCTTCTCCTGCCATCTACTGTCAGTAAATGGCATCAGTGAGTAGGTCACAGCATCATAAGCAGTTGTTGCATAAAAGTAACTTCCATCTGACTCAGAGCATATTCTGAAGACACTTTCTTTATTTTGGTAAACCTTGCAGAAGATCGTATTGCTGACATTGATAGTGCTGCAGAGTCGTGGTGTGTCTGCAGCTTAATTTGTCTTAACTGTAACTTACACTTTGACTTATAATCTTGGCAGGGCCCTGATGATTTTTAAATGACACTTGAGTAAGTAATTGTTGTTTTATCCTCTGTTATTCTGATATTACAGCATCACAGTAGGGTTCTTTTGTAATTTCCTTACATTATAAATGCTGTATATTGTATATTGGCCAAATGTACACACTAAATATTTGGAGGGAGGTGTCTGACACCCCCCCTCCCACCAGCCCCTCCGAAATTATGCCATGTCCACGTACACATACAAACAGTGCCAATACATGCTGGTTTTACCATGACTGCCTGTTCCCACCATCAACTACTGAGCTATTTTAAATCATTACTGGGTATTTAAAGGTCCAGTGTGTATGATTTAGTGGCATCTAGTGGTGAGGTTGCAGAACTGGAACATTTAACGTGCCGATTGTGTAGGAGAACTACAGTGGCCAACACAAAAATGCAAATCGCCCAGTCCAGTGCCAGTGGTTGCTTTAGGCTACTGTAGAACAACATGGCATAGCACATGGCACAACATGTAGATATAAACAGCTCATTCTAAGCTCCAGCAATTCTTAGTTTTGGGGGGAGGGGGGGTCACATGAAACGGGTTTATGGGTCCTCTGCCAACAAATTTTGAGCATCAAACACTTAATTTCCTGCATTCTGATAAATTTTCGTACACCAATTTGTGTCTTTTCTGCATCAATCAACTGTAAATGTCTTTCATTTCGTCAAAATAAAAGTCCTCTGCTATGATTGTATGAGGCAGGACATGTCTCCTGCATCGCCTATGAAATTTACTCCTATGGTAATAAAATATTCATTCATTTATGTTCCATATCCTTTTAGGGGTCGCGGGAGAGGGGGGGCTGGACAGGTCTCATGCTTATATTCACACCTACAGCCAATTTAGAGTCACCAATTAACCTGCATGTCTTTGGACTGTGGGAGGAAGCCGGAGTACCCAGAGAAAACCCACACTGATGTGGGGAGAACATCCAAACTCTGCACAGAAGGGCTCCCCCACCCTGGGAACCCAGGGACCCAGGAGCCCTCTTGCTGTGAGGCAATTTTTAATTTATTTTTTTAAATTTTATATACTTTATTAATCCCTGAGGGGAAATTCAATTTTTCACTCTGTTTGTCAATTACACACAGGTCCAAACACACACATGCACAAACTGGACCTAAACACACTGTTTGTGTGTGGTTGTGCTGCTGGTCCTGCCAGATGCCTCCTGCTGCTGCTGCCATCATTAGTCATTAGTCATACTTCTACTGTTATTATACACATATGACTATTGTCACACAAGTATACTGTCAGATATTAATACATACTTTCAACATATTGTACCACAGTAGCCAGAACTATAACTATAATATTATTACTTTCATTAATGTTGTTGTAAGCTACTGTCATTACCTGCATCTCTCTCTCTCTCTCTCTCTCTGTCTCTCTCTCTGTCTCATTGTGTCACATGGATTACTGTTAATTTATTATGCTGATCTGTTCTGTACGACATCTATTGCACGTCTGTCCGTCCTGGAAGAGGGATCCCTCCTCAGTTGCTCTTCCTGAGGTTTCTACCGTTTTTTTTCCCCGTTAAAGGGTTTTTTTTGGGGGGGGGGAGTTTTTCCTTATCCGCTGTGAGGGTCTTAAGGACAGAGGGATGTCGTATGCTGTAAAGCCCTGTGAGGCAAATTGTGATTTGTGATATTGGGCTTTATAAATAAAATTGATTGATTGATTGATTGATTGATACATGCACTAAGTGGAGAGATGTCAGAGTGGGCTGCCCATGACAGGCACTCCGAGCGGTTGGGGTGTTCGGTGCCTTGCTCAGGGGCACCTCGGCAGTGCCCAGGAGGTGAACTGGCACCTCTCCAGCTACCAGTCCACGCGCCATATTTTGGTCCGGACGGGGACTTGAACAGGCGACCCTCCGGTTCCCAACCCAAGTCCCTATGGACTGAGTTCCTGCTGCTGACCACCATGCTGCCCCTAATGAAGCATAATTATGATTATCATATAACATTTCTGCCAATCCATGTCCTTTAAATCCTACACACTGGACCTTTAAACTTTAACAGTGGCTGGGCCCATAAAGGCTAATTACTTGATTTGGTGCTATCCCAGTGTATGGCAGTCAGTAATGTGGCATGTTTGACCACACAGTTTGACACTGCCATATTTAAACACTAAATCTTCCCTTGCTCTCTTGCACACTTTTACTCCTCCCTCTGCTGCCTGCTCATCAAAAATCTGCATCAAAATTGTGTGTGTATGCATAACAGTGCGTGGGTGAATGATCCACCGGCAAACTGTGATATACCACAGGCCTAATATATTATACTTTATTTCTTTGCAACCAATGTTCATATTTTTTTTATTCCGTATACCCCCGTCGGTTATGTTATATTAGTTTTGCAGTTTATTTAATATTATTTGAGGCAAAGGTCGGCACAGCAGCAAACCCAAACAACCCAGAAAATCTTCACAATGAGATGACAACAAACGCGAAACAGAAGGCAGCCCTTAAAGAATCATTTGAGCGCTTCGCCTAAAGAATCATAAAATATTTACAGTGATAAATTTGGCACACCTCAGACGAGCTGGCGCAGCCCGGACACTGGTAACACATTACACATTAAAGTTTAAAGTTGTATAAAACAGACTGTTAGCGGGGAATAAATAATGTGCCAGCTGTGTGTGATCAATTGTCCTGTTAGCTGCGTTCCGCCCTGCACTGCTGGAGACACACACACACACACGACCACAGCACTGCAATGAACACTGCTCAGTCCGGACTGAGCCACAGCCACGGGACATCTGCGCTCATGGACAGGTATGCTGCTATTACCACCTCCTCTTTCTAACTTTATGTGGAGATGCTGCTTGGACAGGAAATATGACTGCTCTTCTGCGACACTGTTTGTCTTATTAACATTTTGTGTTTTCGGATTATTTGGTGCATGATTCCCAGTGTCATTGGAATCAACTGGCGCGCAAAGTCTGTTTTATTTCACTTTGATCGTTTACTTTTTATGCCTCTCCAGCGGTTCTCTTGTAAAGTCTAAACTTTTATTGTTGCAGAAACGTGTCAAATCTGACCTTGGCTTCACTGCATGTTGAAACGCTATATATTACAGTGCGTAACACAATACACGTCAGACAGTGCGGATCGTTTTAGACCTACAAGCAGGACTGATAGCGAGTACCGAGTCATTGTTTGTATGGAAAATGTAGGTATCATAGGTCCATAACAGGGCCGTGTCATGGAGTAAAAAACATCTGGGGCACCTACCCACCCCCCCAACACATTTTTAATGTTGTAATGTATAATAATAAGGATGGTCATTTGTTGAATGTAAAAGATTATGATTACATTTGATTATTTTAGACAGTGGTGCACGGGTGTCTGTCGTAGCCTAGCAATTTACTTGTTTATTTGTATTTGTATCAATATATGGGGTGGGGTGGGGGGTGGAACATATTCGAATACGCCCAATATATATATGTCTATAATAAAACACTAAAGGTGCACCGATACTACAATTTGATCAGCCCTAGTTTTATGTCCTGAACCATTAGTCAATACATTCAGTTGAATGATTCACTTTTTGAAGCTATAAGACTATTTCTGTTGCACTCTTACACATTTACCTTAAAAGTTGAATTATGACATCATTGATCATTGTCATGACCATGCAGAGCACTGTCACGATATGTAGCTTGTGACATAAATCGATATGTAACTTGCTAGTGTAGTGGAAATTGATGATACTAGGTAGGTGGGTAGATTATCAAGGAGGAAGTGGGTATACTCTCCTATATATTCCAATGGCTTTTTGGCTGATAGGTGAGTTTGCTGTAAATGGCTAGAGAAAGAGGTTGGCATACACTGTATACCTGAGTACACCTTCAATGGACAGGTGTAACTATGCCTGATGGAAACATTTCATCTTTAGACTGTAAATTAATAGCGAGTCAAGCTCTCACTAAACCATTCCATCAAGAGGTGCCACAGACACCAAGATGCAACTTGATACTTGACAGCTCTGATGTAACGCGCTTCAATGTGATCAAATGACATACAAGAAAGTGTGAGGCGTTCTAATTTCAGTGTCTTTGTTTGCAGGCAACGAAGCCTCTGAGATTTGAACAAGAGTTGCTGAATGCCCTCTGACAGCATCATCATGATGTATGGACAGATCCTTCATCCGCACAGCCCTGATGATGACTGCTTTATCAATGTCAATGTTGGTGGTTTCAAACAACGAATGGAGCAAAATGTTCTGAAACGATTCCCGCAGACACGTCTGGGTCGCCTCCTGTGCTGCAGCTCCAAAGAAGCAATCCTTGAGCTCTGAGATGACTTCAGTCCCTCTGAGATGGAGTACTACTTTGACCGCAATCCACGTTTTTTCTGTTACGTTCTCAACTTCTACCTCACAGGCAAAATCCATCTGGTGGACGGGCTGTGCATTATGTCGTTTTTTCAAGAGATTGAGTATTGGGGCATCAAGGAACGTCACTTGGACTTCTGCTGCAGCAACAAATTTCATGAACTGATGCAGCTTGCGGAAGATAAGTGCTGGGATCAGAGGAGCGATGAACTGCAGCTGCACAGCTCGGGTTCATCTATTGAGGAGCTGTCAGCCTTGGAGGAAGACATAGAAATGTTTGAAGGCTCCTGGTGTGCAGATATCCGCAGGAACATCTGGATTCGTCTTGAGAATCCTGGTTACTCTACTTCAGCCAAAGTGATGGCTGTAGCATCCCTAAGTGTGGTCATCGTCTCTATTCTGGCCATGTGCATCCACAGCATGCCGGACTTCCATCAAGTGGATCTCAATGAGAAGGAGATTGAAAACCCAGTGCTGGCTTTCTTTGAGGGCCTCTGTGTTCTGTTCTTCTCTGCAGAGTTTATTCTTCGTCTGGTTGTTGCACCATCAGCCAGGAAGTTCTTGTGCAGCCCTCTAAATATCATTGACTTCATGTCAATCATGCCCTTCTATATCACTTTAGCCTGTGATATAATGGATGAAGGTGAAAACACAGACTTGGAGAATGTTGGCAAAGTAGTGCAGATCTTGAGGTTGATGCGAGTGTTTCGCATCCTGAAACTGGCTCGCCACTCAGCAGGTCTTCGCTCTCTTGGTGCTACACTGCAACACAGCTCCAGTGAAGTAGGGCAGCTGGTGCTTTTCTTGTCTGTGGGCATTTCCATGTTTTCAGCCCTCATTTACTTTGTAGAGAAAGACTCTCGAGAGTCAGAGCTACAGACTATGCCTATTGGCTGGTGGTGGGCCACCATCAGCATGACTACGGTGGGCTACGGGGACACCTTTCCTGTTACGCTTGCTGGGAAGCTGATAGGAACCCTGTGCATCGTCTGCGGGCTGCTGATCGTGGCTCTGCCCATTACTAATATCTTCAATAAATTCTCCAAGTTCTATCAAAGGCAAAAACATCTATAGTCACAGACGAAGCAATAGCTGAACCATCTCCAGCAAGGCACAAGAGTGTTCCAAGGAGTTCCAGGATGCAATGTCAAAACTTTTAACCCTGCAAACTCCTTATAAATCACAACTCATGAGAAGTTGTAAAATAAGCTATGACCATGAAAAATAAGCAGGAAAATGGGGTTAGCTGCACAATGTACTATAATGAACTTGACTAAATGGGCGTAGTATTCAAAGGTCAAGTCTTTTTTCTTGTGCTGGTCTACCACTGCCTCAATCAGTAGTTTGTCTTTGTTATTGTGTGGCTTTAATGAATCCCAACTAACCCTTTAAAACACCAAGGTCACCCAGTAACACATACAAACCAACTGACTGAGGCAGCTGTAGACCAGGAACTCCCGTGTTCTGTGCAGTAAAATAACTGTCAATAGAGACTGGCTTTGAAAAGAGCATTGAAAAGTTTCATTTTCAGCTCAGTTTTACACACTAAGAATTTTCGCCATTTTAGATTCTGCGTTCACAGTAGAGGCATGTGAGAACAACAAAGTTATCTTACCAAATTCAACATAACAAGGAGTGAGTAACTATACATATTCCTCTAAGGGAACAGTTTAGAATTTGGGGATATTAGCTTAATCACTTGAGTCACATGAGTCAGATAAAAAAGATAGATGCCACTCATGTCTGTGCAGTATGAATGTTAGCACCAGCAGCCAGTTACCAGCTGAAGCTTAATAAAGCTTAAAAAGAACTGGAAAAGGGGGACACCGCTAACCAGGCTCTGTCCAAATGTTTAAAAGAAAAAAAAAAATCCAACTACCAGCACAGACTATTTCTTAGCCAACTCCTGGGGGTTACTGGTCCAGGCCAAAAATTAGTGGACAGTGAAGTGTAAAAGGAAATTGTAGCTCAGATTACCAGAATCTGACAGACATATCATGGCAGCACGGTGGTGGCATTGTATATGTCAGCATTGTTGCCTCACAGCACAAGGGTTCCTAGTACAAACTCAGGATGGGGGTTAGAACCCTGGGGTGGGGGAGCCCCTCTATGTAGAGTTTGCATGTTCTCCACGTGTGTGCATGACTTTGCTCCGGGTGCTCCTGCTTCCTCCCACAGTCCAAAGACATGCAGGTTAATTGGTGACTCTAAATTGTCCGTAGGTGTGAATGTGAGCGTGAATGGTTGTCTCTTTGTGTCAGTGCTGTGGTAGTCTGGTGACCTGTCCAATGTCCTTTCGCCTAATGTCAACTCAGTCCCCCCGTGACCCCTAACAAGATGAGTGGTTATACGTAAAATGAATGAATTAATGAAAGCCAGACATAACGTGCTAATTAAGCTCCGTTCTCACCACACAAAAACCCACTACCACTCACTAACATCAGGCTTTTGTATGTATTGGGAAAGATTACAATTGGCATTCACACTTGGATTTGGGTTTGGCTCTAGTCTACTGGCTATGCGAAAATAATCTATCGCCTATTTTTAGCATGTTTTCCTGTGTTTAAAAAAACCCATATACACGCGATAATTTGGGTCAAAAGTGGGTATTAGTGAGGTTTAGTGAGGTAGTTGGATTTTGTTACCTATGGAAAGATCCTGGCTGACTAGCTAGTTTTCCCCCTTTTTCAGTCTTAATGCTAGGCTAAGCTAACCAGCTACTGTAAGCAGCTACGTCATTGTATAGGGGTCCATGTCATTGGTCCAACAGCCCATTGGTCCGACATCCCATTAGTCCGACGGTCCGCGGTGCTGAACGGCTCCCGGCGGGCGTATTTCTGCCTTGATGGTGCGCCACGACCGGCTCTGGGTCAGCTGGGAAAGGCTTGAGGCGGAGCAGGCTCACAGCTTATGTGTTTGTCACTTTCTTTTTCATTTTAACCCACACCATGATCTTTTCCTGACCCTAACCAAGTGGTTTTTGTGCCTAAACCTAACCAGACCTTAACCACAGGGCATCATGATGATTTCGGAATGGACTTCAGAACAATGGGTTTAATANTCCGACATCCCATTAGTCCGACGGTCCGCGGTGCTGAACGGCTCCCGCAGGCGTATTTCTGCCTTGATGGTGCGCCACGACCAGCTCTGGGTCAGCTGGGAAAGGCTTGAGGCGGAGCAGGCTCACAGCTTATGTGTTTGACACTTTCTTTTTCAATTTAACACACACCATGATCTTTTCCTGACCCTAACCAAGTGGTTTTTGTGCCTAAACCTAACCAGACCTTAACCACAGGGCATCATGATGATTTCGGAATGGACTTCAGAACAATGGGTTTAATAAGGTCGGAACAATGGGATGTCGAACCAATGGGCTGTCAGACCAATGGGCAGTTCCCATTGTATAGACACAGAATTGGTATCAATCTTATCTAACATAAAGAAGCGAATAATTTCCCAAAAGGTCAAACTGCTTCTTTAACTTCACTGACTTCATTCACAGTATGGACAAGTCAGCCCAAGTGGAATACCAAGGTTTGACAGAAAAAGACAAAGTCACATTTTTTCTTGCATTTAGAGCAACTTTTTAAAACCTCACATTTGAGCGCACTGAAAAGATGACACAGCATTCTGTGTGTGGCTGTTAATGTCCTTTGTCCAAACCCGTCTCCATTTCTGCTATGCTGTTGCAGTCCTTGTCTAATATTGATCCATCCATCTTGTTCTTATGTCTCTGTTGTATTTGGTGTCAAAAGACTTTTAATTGCCTAATCCAATAAGAGGCTTGTTGCTGCTTGCTGGGTCATCAGAGTAATGAGTTCTTCATCAATGTGTTTGGGACAACAACAGTTAACATCAATAAAAATCCTTACAAGGTGCTGAATTCACAACTCATCCCACAATGAGTATTGAGAGTCTTTAAAGAGAGAAGAATAAACCAGACAATAAAGTTTTGTGTCTGGATTTGTCTCATTAACATAAAAGGATCTGTATTTCTTTCATGCAGCTGTTTCATTTCACATTTGTGTTCGACCTATATGTGAGCAAACGTTCATTCGTGCTGTGGTTTAATGCTCTCCTTCTTGCCGCAGGTACCTTCATCTGCAATATCTACGTGTGTGTGCTTTATCTGTGTCATCTCTTCAACAGATAAGAATGTGTCCGATCAATGAAAACAGACCAAATATCCGAGATGCCCTCCAACGGATGCCAATACTGTGGAAGAACCTTCTCTCTCGATTCAACTGATTTAAAAAAAAAACATTGCCTCTACAACACTGTGGGTGGTGAGGTCGTGATCTTACGTCAAATTATTATTAATTTAGCAGCTGATGATTACAACATATAAGGTATTTTGCAGCTGTCAGGGAATCACTAAGTAGCTTGTGGCTCCGGCCCTTAAATAAACATCTATGTCAGCACTCGGGTAGGCTCACCTTTTTGCGCTGGGGTCCCTCCTCCTGTGTCCTTCCTTTATGCTCAAAGTCACACAGTATTGCACTCTGATTTAGTTCATTGCTTCGGACTTTTGATGTGAAAGTCACCGTCAGCAATATCTGTAGTCATCTCAGTGCTGAAGGACAGCCAGGTGGTTTCTGAACAGGAGCACAGAGAGAGTGTTTGTGCTGTTGGGGTAATCACTAAAAGTCGAAACCTGCCGGTGACCCCCATGAGGCTGCTGATATGGGGTTGATGTTATTGAGATGATGTTAACAACTAACATACGGTGGAGATGATCTGCACCAAAAAACACTTTTCCAGCAAATATTAAAACATACAATTGTTTGTTTAATTGAGCTGCTGTTCACATTATTTATTTATTGTTTGTTAATCGCTCCAGCATATAATTTAGACCTCGTTATAAAAACATACAAGTAGATTTTCTTTACCTGAAGTTCAATCAAGTCCACTTTTTAATTCACTGCCCCCTATTCCCTCAGTCATCTTACTATATAATGATGAAAAGTCTGTCTGTAAGTGTGTCTGTTCCACGTTTTTCTCCTCACTGACTTTGTCGATCCATGTGAAATTTGGCACAGTGGTAGAGGGTCATGGGAGGATGCCAATGAAGCAATATTACATCAATTGGCCAAAGGGGGGCGCTATAGCAACCGATTGAAATTGCAAACTTTGAATGGGCATATCTCATGCCCAGTATGTGGTAAAGACATGAAACTTTGCACAGAGATGCCTCTCCTCATGAGGAACAAATTTGCCTCTAGAACCCATAACTTCCGGTTATATAGATTTTCCGCCATTTTGAATTTTTTGAAAAACACTTCAAATCAATCTCTTCCTAGGAAGTTTGACCGATCTGCATGAAACTCTGTGAACATAATCTAGGGACCAATATCTAAAGTTCCCTCTTGGCAAAAGTTGGAAAACTTACTAAAACTGAGCTTCTATAAGGCAATGAATATTGCGGAGGGCGTGGCTCATCACATAAAGGTGTATAACATCTCAAGGGTTTCACCGATCACCACACAACTTTGTAGGCATATGACCACACATAATCTGAGGGGACCCCTCCATTATTGACCCCATCAAACAAAATGGGGGCGCTAGAGAGCTCATTTCTTATCTAGGCCTAAACACCATATTGATTTTTACTAAACTTGGTAGATATGTAGAACAGGATGCCTCAAGGTGACTGGAGAAATTTAACTCTAATTGGCAACAGGGTGGCGCTATAACAACAGAAAAATGCTTACAAATGGCTAAAATGCGACCGATCGCTGTGGCTAAATGTTGTTGTTTTTCTAATTTTTGATATGACTAAGTCATGGTATGGTATGCTGTACATAATCACGGAAACTGTCAGTCAGTCATTCTGTCAGTCAGTCATTCTGTGTGTCCCACGTTTTTCTACTTACTGACGTGGTCAATCTATGTGAAACTGCACATAGGCATTGAGGATTGACATAGATAGAAGGTGACAAACCTACCAATGGGTATGGACTAGTTACTTTTAATGCCGTAAATAAGAGTCATTTATTGTGCTAACAATCATTGGAGTAGCTGCCCCCTTTTCATTCATCAATCTTATAACAAATCCTCATTCAGATACCATTTAG